TACATAATTTCGAAAACTTTTTTCCGGAACGTTATCGGTGTGTATTTGTTACAATAATTTCGGAAAGAACTTTCTAAAATAGTAATTTTATTATTCTGAAAAGTACTTTCTGGAATTATTCCGGTAGAAATTTCTTTCCGAAAATAATTTTAGTACTCCAGAAAATACTTTCCAGAATTATGTACAAACACACTTCCAAAAACACATTCCAGAATAGAAATTTTTTTTCTAAATAATATTAAAAATAATTTAAAATTTTAATATTTTTTTAAAAGGAAAGGGAATGTATATATAAAAAAATGGAGGTGTATATATGATCAACCTAGTATATATTATGTAAAACAATATCCGAAAGCCCAAACTAGGCCCAACTAGTCCCAAAGCCGAAAGCCAAAAGCCCAAACGCTTCGGCCTCATATTCTAAGTGCAGACGAGGTTGGTATTGAGAGAGAAGAGAGGGAAGTGCAGTGATTCAGAATTGTTGATTAGTATTTGACAGTTTGAGAAATTTGCACTATTCTATCTTCAAGTAGATGAAACTTTGCTCAAGTAGATAGTTGCGGATAGATAAGATATTATATGGTATTGAGAGCTTTGTAGAGAGTCAAGCTTATGTGAGGGGTGTTTTTATTCACCATCTCATCCTTTTGTGGTAGTTATCACTTTGCAGTGAATAATTTACTTGTACTTCTTCAAGGTTGGTTGTTTTTGTTTTTGGCATTTGAGCATGAATTTGGAGGTTACAATTGACATAAACTTCTTAGTAAAGAAAGATGGCTTTGCTAGTTAATTAGTAGTTACCACATAGGGCATGTTTGCTCCATTCGCATCTAAACAGCTACTAATGGGAGAACTCAGTGATGTGATGCAGATACAAACACTTGGAAGAAATTGCTAGTAACATTGTCTCAATTAGAAATAAAGGGTACACAGTACACTCTGAAAGACTGAAACTTTCAACAATTGAGATTTGGTTTAGATTATACAATTTTAATTTTAATCTAAGTGCTTATGCAGTTATCCTATCCACTTGCTAAATTTTTTGTGGAATTAATATAGTATCTTAGGATACAGATTGAGGTCAAGTAAAATATCCTTTGGCTGTCTTTTTTTTCCTTCCTGCTTACTAGTTACTACTTAGTACTTACTACTATAATTCTTGAACTTCACCAAGTTATAAACTGAATTTCATTCCTCTAGATGCATTAATTTTTAAGTATATAAGTGCTTTAATTATTGACTCTAACAACTGTGATCTTCTCTTTGGATGCCGCATAAGGGAGTGTTCACACCTTCTCTTTAGAGATTCCATTATTAGGATCTATAGTGTTGTTAATCTTGTGACAAATGTAAAGATGAGAAAAAAAAAACAAATAAAGTATATATGTTTTTTTCCTACTGTCTTACATAACTCACATTATGACATTGTATCTAAGGAGTGTTAATGGCTGTAGTCATTGCTGAGCTTTGGGATTAGGTGATGTCAGTTTTAATATTCGGAAAGAAAATAGATTATATGATTTGAATCCTTGACTACTAGCATGTTTGAAATCCTCATTCATATGAAAATTTGTTATTGTTGTCATTTGTTTATTCAAAAGAGGCTGGTACATAGGTTGGTTTCTTTTCCTGGGGGAAGAGGGTAATTAATAACATTAAATTTACAAAGGAAAAAAAAGTGTGAACTCTATAAGCGACTATTAGTTGTAGAATTCTATATATGAGGCACATGGTGGTCGAGTTACTACAGTTGCAGTATCTGTGTGGGTCTATTGGTTTTGCTCCTTTTGGAGTCTTGGAGTGAAGTTCTGAAGGACGACATGGCAAAACGTTTTCTTGTACTTTGCATACTTTGCTCTTTTAGTCCCACATGGATTAATTATCTTACATGAGTAAAGTTTATATACGGTTGGTGTACACTGAAGTTTGGCCAAGTTTGAAAGATTCAACAAACATCCAAACAGAAACTCTCTAGCTTGGCCTTTTAATTAATCTTTCATCTTTTTATAGCCCATTCTTACATAACTCTTTTAATCTTTATTTATAACTCATTCTTACAGAAGTTTCATTTCATATTCTTTTATCCATGTAAACTGGCATTAATAAACTAAGAATTTTCACCATGAAAACAAAACCCATCTTATAATTGGATAATTTTATTCCAAATTGATGACTAAATTAAACCCTAAGTTTTTGCTAAAAACAAACAAACTCATACTAGAATAGTAGAATCTGACTAGATTCAACATGTTCCAAATCTAACAATTATAATACCATAAATTCTCAAACGTGGTCATTTTGCTTGCAGAGATGGTTTAAGACACGAGTTATTATTCATTTTACAAAATATTCAATTTAATTCATTTTAATATTTTAACACTTTATTCCACTTTGAGAATGGCATTACTTGATTAAGTTGTAAGCTTTCTCAAGGGAGGGAAGAAAATGAATACACGTAACAACATCTATAGTTATAACAAAGCAAAACTAGACAATTGATTCAACTTAAAGTCTTAAAGTCTATCCTTGAAAAGTAAAGTTGATTCTATAATGATTTCAAAGAGATCTATTCTAAGCGAACAAATGCCTTGTGACAACAATCATACACTAAAAAACAATCAATAAAGAAAAAAAAAAAGTGCACAAAGATGGAATTGGTCATTTTCTTATGTTCTTCTAAAAAAAGTGTCACAAGTAGACAAACATATATATACTAAAAACCTAAAATTGTGCTTAAAGTAAAGACTTAAATTAATCTTCAACATTATTTATTTTTTTAAAAGAAAAATGCTATGTTCTTCTCAAAAATGTGTCACAAGTAGACAAAGATACATTTACTTAAAACCTAAAATTCTGCTTAAAGTAAATATTTAAATTAATCTTCAACATTCATCAAAAAAATTAATCTTCAACATTATTATTTTTTAAAGTAAAATACGATGTTCTTCTAAAAACAGTGTCACAAGTAGACAAACATACATTTATTGAAAACCTAAAATTCTGCTTAAAGTAGAGACTTAAATTAATCTTTAACATTATTTATTTTTTAAAAGCAAAATAATTTATTGAAAATAAAAGGGGTGATTATCGAAAAACTAGTTGTCTATTCAAAGACCTTTTATAGACAAAAGTTAACTAATATAAAGATAAACTTGAGTTAATTGGGATTTAAGAAAATTCTCATTAGTCATAGATTTTATAAAGTGTCATTTATTTTATACGATACTTGATCAATAAAAATAGAGAGGAAAGTAAAATTTTTTCTCATTTAATTTTAGTTCTCCACTAATATTTAGAGGATTTTGAAAGCCAGGAATTTAAATACATAATGTTGTATTATATTAGTAATTTAATCTGATTTATAGGTCAAATTTAAATATACAAATTACAAACACAGGATTTCCCCAATAAGGAGTCTCCTCCTTCCACAGAACTTGGAAAAAAAATAAAAGTTTATCATCTCCCCTAATAAGGTTTATAGTTTGATTGATCATTATTTTAATTCATCTTTTGGGTTAAAAATTATTTTAATAAATGTTATATATATTAGTTTTATTGATCAAGGAGAATTTCTTTAAGTTTTTTTTTTAGAACATAGGATATGTTGTATGAGTTAATTAGTGGTAAATTACTACATTAAATAAAATTGAAATTTAACAAACATACAATGTATAAATAGATTAATTTAGCCTCACTAATCATAGTTCTTTGACATCTAATTTTGACGTTACACAAAATTTTTGTCTCTATCAAATTTAAATTTGAATGAAGATGTGCAGCAACATGAGACAATTGTTGAATTGAAACAGGAAATAGGTCAACCTGAATGTCAATAATGGGACTCTCCATGTAACAGGAGACTCCACCTTGTGAAACTAGAAACCATTATAGAGAATAATTTATATTTTTAATTATTAAATTTTTCACTATTTTAATTAATATATTGGTATATTATATATTTATATGTTTATCAGATTCTAATCAACTTTTATAAAATACGAACGTTTGTGTTTTTTTTTTAAAAGATTTTTTCTTTAACTAAAGTGGTTTTAGTCATTCTTTCATCTTCATATTTAATTCAATTTTTATTTTCGTAATTGTTTATGAATTAAAATTCAATTATTAATAAATAACAATAATCCCGTGCTACAATATAAATTCTTTATTACAAATATAAAATATAATTTATATATTTAAAAATATATTTATTCAAATTTTAAATATAATTTCTATATTCAACATAGTATTATTTATATATACATATTTTATTTTAATTTTTAGTTATACATGATAAACATTCAATTTATGTTTTACATAGACTAAAATACTAGTTTTATCAAAGTAGTAATTTATCACTAATAACACATAAGATAATTATATTCAATTACTAATTAATTCTTTATATTAAATAATTTTTAATTTTTAATTTTTAAAACCAGAAGAAAAAAAAACGTTAACCCAACTTCTTAACATGTTGTAGCAAAGTATAGAAGTCAGATCCTTGGGGAACACTTTCAAGAAAAAAACAAAAGTAATGGTATTTGAGTAAATAAATATGGGAGATATTATATTTTTTTGTACACAGAAAAAATAACAGATAAAAAAAAAGAAAAAATAAATTTAAGAAATAGCGAGTAAATTCCTCTGTATGCGACAGGGAGATATTATATTTGGTAAATACTGCTTTTTTTTTATTTTAAAAAAAATATTATTAAAATAAAAAAATCAAGTTTGAGGAATCACGCAATGTTTTTTATTTTGACCAGTTGAAACAAAACTTATGTGCCTCCAAAAATAATAATAATGATAATAATAATAATAAATTTATATTGATAATTTATATAAATATTATAAATTATGTATAATTATTTAGATAAAATAAAAGTGGAGATTAAGAGAATCTATTTTATTAATAGTAAAGATTATGTAAAACAAAATCCGAAAGCCCAAACTAGGCCCAACTACTGAGTTCCAAACCAAAAAGCCCAAACGCTTCGGCCTCATATTCTAAGTGAAGGCAAGGTTGGTATTGAGAGAGAAGAGAGGGAAGTGCAGTGATTCAGAAATTAACACAATGGACCAACCCCAACTCTTACACGACCCAACCTTCCCACTCTTCAAAATCCCAAGCAAAACCCCACCCAAACCCCCCTCACTCCCCACCGCCGCCGCCACCGCCACCGCCACCGTCGCCGCCGCCGAGCGCGTCGAAACCCCCGACGCTGACGCCGACACCTTCGAAGACCTCGGGCTCGCGGAATGGGCGGTGACGACGTGCCGGGAGCTCGGGATGCGGAAGCCGCGGCGCGTGCAGCAGCGGTGCATCCCGCGGGTGCTGGAGGGCCGCCACGTGCTAGGCATCGACGAGACCGGCAGCGGGAAGACGGCGGCCTTCGCGCTCCCCATCCTGCACCGCCTGGCCGAGCACCCCTTCGGCGTCTTCGCCCTCGTCGTCACGCCCACGCGCGAGCTCGCGTTCCAGCTCGCCGAGCAGTTCCGCGCGCTCGGCTCCGCCGTGCGCCTCCGCATCGCGGTGGTCGTCGGCGGCATGGACATGCTCCGGCAGACGAAGGAGTTGGCCGCGAGGCCGCACCTCGTCATCGCCACCCCTGGCAGGATTCACCTCTTGCTCCGCGATAACCCTGATATTCCTCCTGTTTTCTCCAGAACTAAGGTAGTGTGAATCATTTGATGTAGGGTGCGTTTGGATACATGTTTTAGCTTTTAATAGTGCTTATGGTAGAACCGTATGTATTAAGGATGCGTTTGGATAAACACTTATGGTTTAGTTACACTTGTTTGTTAGTTGTTATATAGTTGATGAATAAATGGGTTTAGATTCTGTTTGATTAAACTTCTTAATAAACACTTAGAGGAAAATAAAATTAGATCGTTTGCAAAAAGTTGAACACATAATTTAGATACGTTTTGGATACAAGCTCAGAAGCCCTTTGAGAGCTTTTTACACTTTATTTTCAGGAGAGAAGCTCTCAAAAGTATTTTTAGTTTGTATCTGTACCGTCTAGGTAAAAATCTGACTGATCTCTACTCGGCCGATACCCGACTAAGTTACCAGGCCACAAGCCCTCTCGCCTTATCGGCTCAGGGCTGGAAGGCTAGTGTACCGTCTAGGTAAAAATCCGACTGATCTCTACTCGGTCGATACACGACTAAGTTACCAGGCCACAAGCCCTCTCGCCTTATCGGCTCAGGGCTGGAAGGCTAGTGTACCGTCTAGGTAAAAATCCGACTGATCTCTACTCGGTCGATACCCGACTAAGTTACCAGGCCACAAGCCCTCTCGCCTTATCGGCTCAGGGCTGGAAGGCTAGTGTACCGTCTAGGTAAAAATCCGACTGATCTCTACTCGGTCGATACACGACTAAGTTACCAGGCCACAAGCCCTCTCGCCTTATCGGCTCAGGGCTGGAAGGCTAGTGTACCGTCTAGGTAAAAATCCGACTAGTGTACCATCTAGGTAAAAATCCGACTAGTGTACCATCTAGGTAAAAATCCGACTAGTGTACCATCTAGGTAAAAACCCGACTAGTGTACCATCTAGGTAAAAACCCGACTAGTGTACCATCTAGGTAAAAATCCGACTTAACTAATCCTCACTCATTGCGCGGCCTCGTAGCAAGAACGGTTGAGGAAATCCCTATGTTCTCGGGGCCCATAAGGCCCATGGACGACGAAGTATAAAACCTAAAATCCTAAGGCTAAGAAGGCAGATTACACTTTTGAATGCTCTGGCTTTGAGGCTTGACCTAGGCAGAAACCCTAGCGCACCTCGTGGCCGGAACAGTATCCAAACAGGCTTTTAGTCCCTTTACTTGTCACTGATTCTCAATCTGGTCCTTGTATATACAAACTTGGAGAGTAAATACCTACTTCACTAGTAACTGTTGTCATATTGGTTTCTGAAACTAAGAAATTGTCAAATAAGTTCTTAGAACATCAAATAAGTTCTTAAATTGAATTACATATTGTCATTTTTGTCCTGAATATATTTAATATTATCTCTGTAGTTATACGCTTTTTCTCTGAGTTTTGGACTAATATGATTGTCAATTTGCACTTTGAGAGATGTGTTTTATAATTTTTTAGTTTCAGAGAGACTAATGCGATACAACATGTTCCAAATTCAGAGATCAAAGTAGGTGTTTACTCAAATGTTTGATTGTTAAACCCTTACACATTCTTAACTTAGTGTCTATATGTACAGCATTTTGAAGTTATTTATCATACACGTACCGCATTCTTAATTCTTATGGGACCAAATTAATAATGTGTAAGGAGTTAACTGTTAACACAGGATCCTTAGAAATGGTGTCATGACAGCAGGGACAACAGCAGCAATAGTTGCACATACGTATAGTGACTAATGTAATAGGTTTTTACCTAAAGAGACCAAATTGATAATCTACGATATGTATTGGGAGTTTGGGACTATATTATGTATTTAACCTAAAGGAAATTAAGCTTCCCTCTCATAAATTAAAATTAGCTTATTCATAATTATTATGAATTGCTTTTGCTTTGTGTTTGGATTCTATGAATTAATATTTAACCTATGATTTGGCAGTACCTTGTCTTGGATGAAGCAGATCGAGTCCTGGATGTTGGTTTTCAGGAAGAATTGAAGTTTATTTTTCAATGCTTACCAGAAAATCGGCAAAATCTTTTCTTTTCTGCAACAACTACAAGTAATCTGCAGAAGTTGCGTGATCGTTACCGAGATAAGATGTATGTCTTTGAGGCATATGAAGGCTTTAAAACAGTTGAAACACTTAAGCAACAGGTTATATTCATTCCTAGAAAGGTGAAGGATGTATATTTGATGCACATTTTGTCTAAAATGGAAGATATGGACATTCGGTCTGCCATCGTATTTGTCTCAACATGCAGGTATCTTTCTAGATGACATGTTTGAATTTTTTGTCAGCCATTTTTGTGTTTGTATTATTGTTGCTTGTATTGATTTTTCTTCAAGGTCAATAACTATATTTTTTTTGTGGTGCTATAGAATCATGTTGGCATTTTCAGCTGATAAATATATTAAACCATGCCTACTTTCATTTGTTTGATACTCTAGTTTGCATTGACTGGTTTTTTGTCTGGAAAATTGATAAACATGAAACTTTTATCTCTGACTACTTTTCTTCAATAAATGATTAGTCTGTTGAGAGAGACTTATTAAATTAGATGAGAGACCATCTAAAATTTGTGAATTTTAATAAATTTCAACCAATAATAGTGTTAGCAAGAGGATGTTAGATAGAGTCGCCAGCATTCCTCTTTTTTTATTTTAACTTCCCTCTTTCCTGCCAGCAATGAAGAAAAAGGGTTAAAAATTCTCATTCTAATATTGGTATGATGAAATTTGGCTGTATTAGTTATTTCATTTTTTTTCTCTTCTGTTGACAGTTAATAATGGAGTTTATAGTCTTCATATCTTTCAGATTCTGTAGGACAAAAAACACATTAATGCCTCAGGTTGTGGACCCCTTGTCTAAGTGAATCTGTTTATGGTCTGTTGGTATTGTTCTGTGCGATGGCTTTTGTGTATGACATTGTCTCAGTAAATAAAAACCATTTGTGATGTTAAGGAGAAAATAGTGAGTTGCAGTCTGACATTGGAAATTTGGAATTATATCTTGTTAATTGGCAGATGGTTGGACTTGAGTTGAAGTTTGTTTCAGTGTGTCTCTGCTTGTTAGAATATAGATATTGGGCATGTATAGGATTTCTTATTTTTTATCGGGCAATGTTTTAACATTAATATTTGAAATGAAGTTATTAGTTTTAGTTGATGGGTGATCAAGAGCTTTATTTTATGTATTTCTTAGAGGCTTTCCTCCTTGCTCTGTTGCTTCTATAAACTCATTATAGTGAAGGAATTGATAGAATTAGAATTTGGTTCTATTTTTGGGTGCTGATATATTATTTATCTCTATGAATAAGTTGTAATTAATTGGAAGATAAAATGCGCATTTAATTGTTTAAAAAGACTGTTTTAAAGTCGTACTTCAAGAAGTAAACGTGCGATCCAAATCATTACAAGTGGAGAGTTGTGGGTTTGAAAATCGAGTGGTGCAATGCAAATTGGCTGTTTGAAGTAGACAAGGGTCCTAAAATGATAAAATCCCCAAATGTTAGGTAGCACAATTATCTGTAAAATAGCATAAATTACCCTAACCTACTAGTTTTCATTCTCTTCTAAATATTTTGTAGATGTCCCTAACTGTTACCAAATTGCAGAGATTGTCATCGTTTAAGTTTAATGCTTGAAGTGCTTGATCAAGAAGCAGCAGCTCTATATTCATTCAAATCACAAGCTCAGAGGCTTGAAGCACTTCATCAATTTAAATCAGGAAAGGTTTCTGTACTGCTTGCTACTGATGTTGCTAGTCGCGGTTTGGATATTCCTACAGTTGACCTTGTTATCAATTATGATGTTCCAAGGTTACATTTTCTTGGGCCAATTTCTATATTTTCTTAATTGAATTTGAAGCATTTGATTAAAAATGAATTGCAATTATTCATCTGCAGGTTTCCACGAGATTATATTCATCGTGTAGGTCGTACAGCAAGAGCAGGTAGAGGGGGACTGGCTTTGAGCCTTGTCACCCAGGTTAGCACATTTTCTATCAACAGGGAAACTTATATGTTTCTCTTGTTTGAATCTAAGTTTACATGCATTGTATTTGCACCTAAGAATTTTTTTTAGTAAAGTGTGAGGACCCTTGCTCATTTAAGACTATATCTGAGTGCTGCCAATATGGCGGCTGTAGGTCAGTTAATACTGAGCTTGAGCCATATAGCCTGTGGCTTTTAGGTAACAACCCAGCATTAGTTTGTGTAATCCTTCATCAGTTATCTATGAATGGGGGGCCAAACACAACCCTCCTCCTTTGCTGAGCTTGGAACCGACTTTGACACCATAGAAAAAGTTATATAATTCAACAATTGAATTGATAAAAATTTGCATTTGTAATGTAAGGCAGTTTTTTTTGGATATCTTGATGTACAACTGTTTTTAATATGATAGTTCTATATGTTGTGTATGGCATAGTTTTGTATGGACTCTTATAAGGATTTATGTCATACTATTCCAATCCTTTATATATGAAACAAATAATTAATTCATCAAAACCAATGGAAATAGTTAAGTTAGTTATTAGTAATATCATAAATTTATCTTTTATTCTAAAAATATCTATAGAATTAAACAGCTTAAGTTGTGGTTATATTTAATGAAAGAAACTATTTGTAATTCAAGAGACAATTTTTACCCGTGAATTAATCTATCTGTGTGGAGGAATGAGCGAGTGTCTCATTAATACACTTCAAAATAAATTAAGGATATAAATGAAAATTAACAAATAATACATTTGAAAATGAGTTTTTGTTTCTTATAATTAGGAATAAAGAAATATACCCATTTATTTCTTATAATTAGGAGTAAAGTTCAATTTAGACTCCTTATTGTCTAGGTTCTGGTAGGTTAGAATTCCCAAAGTTTGATATTTTTGCATGAATATATTGTTAGGACTTAGGAGTCACATGTTGTACTAATACTAGGTTGTGAATATGTATAATATTATCCGTAGTGTTACAAACTGTCTTAACTCATAGTAAGAAAAAGGCGTCTATGTATGTTCATGTGGTTTTGCTGTTTGCAGAGGTAGTGTCTGGTTATTTCAATTGTGACCATGGTATTTCATATATTAAATTTAAATGAGATCATTTTAGGATTTGGTATTTGTATTGCATTAGTTTCCTTTGTAATTCTCTATTTAAATGTGGCATTTTCAGAATGATGTTGAACTTATTCGTGAAATTGAAGCTCTTATTGAGCGGCAACTTGAAATGATTGAGTACAAGGAAAATGAGGCGCTTTCTCTCATGAAAAAGGTAGGCTTTTGTTGGGGTAACTTTTTTGTTCTAATGATTAAATTGTATATTTAATTTAATTTATTTTTCTCGTGTCAAAATAATTGTGGCCTTTTTCAATTATGAGCCGTGTAAAGATTCTTTTTTCAATTTCCATTTGACTTATTGACTTTGATGTATTGTAGGTTTTCAGTGCTAAGAATGTAGCGGAAATGAAGATGATAGATGATGGCTTTGAGGATAAAGCTAAAGAGCGGAAAAAACAGAAGCTGAAAATGCTAGCAGAGAAAGGATTGTTAAAGAAAAGAAGTAAAAAGAGAAAACGAAATAAAGAGTTTGCAGAGGAAGGGGAAGAACAAAAAAAACAGGTGGAAGCACTGCCTATAGCTTCTTCTTTGGGCCAGTGATTGACTTGCATATATGATTTTTACTGTTTTATTGTGCCTTCATGATTGTGGCTTTTTTCAATTATGAGCTATGTAAAGCTTCTTTCTAGTTTCCAAATTCTCAGAAGTTTCCATTTGACATTTACTTTGATATATTGTGTAGGTTTTCAGTGCTAAGGATGTGGCAGAAATGAAGATGACGGTAGAGGAGGGCATTGGGAAGAAAGCAAAAAAAGGGGGTAAACAAAAACTGAAAATGCCAACAGAGAAAGGTTTGTTAAAGAAAAAAAAAGTTGAAGGAAAGAAATAAAGAAAATGCTAATGAAGGGAAAAAACAGAAAAAACAGGAGGTTGAAGCATTAGCAGATATAGCAACACCAAAGAAACGGAATAAGAAGAGAGAGTAAATTAGTATATTTAAGGGAATTAGTACCAAAGGACAATTTGTGAGAACGGAATGAATATTTGAAGGAAAGGGCCTGAAAGTGGTTAAAATCAAAGCAGAAAGGGAAGAGATGTATGAATGAAAAAAGTGGAAGCAAATTAGCGAATTGGTAAGTAATATTTGCCCACAATTTTTTTGTATTCACGTCTTTCAAGGATGGCAGATTTCGATTGTCGGAGCAGACGTGATATTAATACAAGTTTACACTTGCGTATGCTAATTACAATTACGATTTTGGCAATCAGCATAACATTATATCTCAGGAGTTGAATACGTTATAATAGTCGAATATCTGGTGGAAATTCTAGGGTTTGTTTTCCCTTGGAATCTTATATAATGCCTTTAAATCTAATTGTATTGGATATATATTTTGGCTTTTTTTATTTGGGATCGTTTAATCTTTGAGGAAAAATTAGGACCAAACCGTGCAATAGTATTCCTGCCCATTAGAAGAGGGAACCATCTTTGATTTTGCAGGCAATTAGTTAAGTGAATTAATTTGTTGTAAACATTTGGTTTATTCGTTCTTTTAAGTTTAAAGATAGATTTTAGAAGACTTTTATCTCGCTTCTAGGCATTGATAACCATAAATATCCATTTGGAAAACAAAATCAGGAAATTAATCTGAATCTTATCCATAACCATAAACATATCTCTTTCTCCTAATCTCATTCTGTTCAGCGCGTGCCTATTTTAATATCATCTTTCACTGTACCAGTTTGTACTGATAAAGTTATCTAGTCTTTATAAGAACACAGAGGAACCACCTTTCGGTCTGCAAGCAATGAGATTAGTGGCTTATCTTTGGAAAATTAGTGTTATTGGGCAAGAAATGTATCAACAATCTAAGACATTTGTCAATAGAGAGCAGAAAGTTTATATTACGACCTCTCAGCTCAATTTGAGAGGATTTAAAGCACAATTCCCAGCCCAAGAAACAGATTCTATTCCCAGTTAGCAGTAGCACGCATTCAATATATATATATATATAAG